AAGCCAATGCTCCCACTTAGTGAGTAACAAAATTTTGTCTTTTTTGCTACTTCTATCATAACTCATCATTATGCCGATGTCTTGATATCTAGACTGGACTGAACTTTTTTCCATATATGATTCTCCACTCTGAGGCCTGGTTTTGGATCTTATAATTTTGCTCTCCCAAAAAATCCAATGTGTTTGGATGTTTAACGAAAATATTTTTGCAGTTACAACAATTCTCTTCAAAGATATTAAACTAATTTTATGTTGGCCACTTCGCTATTATCAAGTCTTTAAAAGGGCAGTTGCAGCTATTTTAATTCTACTCTTGAATTGATCATTTCCTTTAGAAAGTTTGTACTGGTGTAGTATTATAATTTTACTTGCTTCTATTTTGGGTGTACATTTTGTACATTTTTAAAGAACATGTCTCTACATTATGATATGCCCTTGTTGGCTCCTAAGGCCCCCAAAAATTGCTCTGATGGATGGGATTTTGTCCGAGGGCTTTAAGATCTGTAACTTAGGAAATGCATGTTAAAGTTAATTTCTACACATGCAGATCTACAATCTTCTAAATAAATGTATAACCTTGCCAATAATTTTATAAACACTGAATATTGCAGAGTCTGTAAAATGCATTGGGCTTTCTCTCAATCCCTCTTGTCAGCTGGAGGAGACCCCACCCATCCTCCAACTAAGCTCTCATGCTTATTTATTGCCACTTCCTCGGGCCGTGTTAGTTCATTCCCCCGTCGCTGCTCTCTTCTTCTTCCCATGCTTCTCTTGCTCTCTCTTGTTTCACTACTCTTTTCCGGGCAATTGGGTCTGGGTGCTGATGGTGGGGGGTAAGGGGCTGGGGTGGAGCTGCTGGGAACTTTGGACGTGTGTGTGTGTGTGTGTGTGCTGGGAAGTGAGCTAATAAAGGATGGTGATCCATGAAAGGCCTTGAGCAAAGACACAGTCAATTACCTAATGCCTGGACCCGACTGCAGGGCCCATGCTCACACATTCCCTCTCTAACAATCGCGTACACACACATACACACAGGCCCATGCTTACACCTCATTTACGTATACATGTAGATCGGGCAGTAGAGGGCAAGCTGTGAATCGTGTGCTCCTGTGTGGGTGGGTGTGCATATGCGTGTGATGGAAAGTGATGATTTATTAAATAGCTGTCACTTTTGACAAATTTGCACAACACAACTTGGAGGTTTCAGCTGTACTGCCTTTGTTTTTTATATTTTCTTATGGGTGGGGGGGATTGTGTCTTCATAACAAAATCCAGGTATGTTAATTAACCTGTCGGATGTCACCACTTGGGTTGAAAGCTGTATCTGCAGAGGCTTTATGACAAGGCACCTCATCTGGATTTAATGTAGAGAAGGCGTAGGTTTAAATAAACCCTGTCTGTGTAATACATGTTTCCAACTTTCTTTTTTTCCCCTTTTTTAAATTTGTGTAGAGAAAGTAGGAGCAAATAAACTTTTTGCTTTTGTCTACTCTTTGGGCCTCACTGTAAATACTTTTGCGAAAATCTTTAAAAGAAATCTATTGTTCAACTGTTCTAAAAAAAAAAAAAATCTGTAATAAATAAATCAATACATGTATTTCCTTCATTTGATTCAAAGTGGGATTTAATTTTGGGGGTGCTTTTTCTGCTAAGAATTTTTTTATTTATTTAATTTAATTTAATTTAGTTTATATATATATATATATATATATATATATATATATATATATATATATTTCACAGGCTGTTTCCTTATGACTACTCATTTACTGGTATTATAGCCCATGATTCTCATTGTAGAACAGTTAAATAACTGAAGACTTGCAGGGTAAAAATGCTTTTGCTTATTTGCTATTGATTATTAAGATAATTAATCATAAGTCTTGCTAAAAACTAGGGTTAGTCTTCACATTATGGATATTACCAAATGAAATGTAGTTACAATAATAAAATATCACTGCTGAGTGCATGTGATGGCGGTGGAGGAAAAAATCTGAAGGCTTGGAGTGGCAAGAAAAGCGTGGTCTTTAATTGTGTATTCAGGGAAATTATTGTGAGCGACAGATCAAACGTTGGGTTAATAACTGCACTTCAGACTTAAACACACAGTGCAGTAGATTAGCTTGTGAGTGGTAATGAGTTTATACTAAAGTGTTTCAGTGAAGACACCCACACACAGTTCTTAATTAAAACTCAAGAGTTTGAACTTAAGTAGAGAGAGAATGGAACACTGCTCAAAATGAACAGAATGTGAAGGGTTTTAAATGCTATATTTGTATAAAATCTCATCTTGTCTTTAAAGAATATATATTTCATAAGCATGTTTTTTTTTTCCATAATTAAGTGACAGGGCGCCTCAATGACTCATTTTTAATGTTGAGACTGGACCTAATCCTATATTCCTAAACCAATTTCACTATAGAAAGACAGTTTACAAAAATATTTTTTAGTAATTTTATTAAAAACCATGCATTATAGATTTTAAAACTTACTTTTCCTTATTTAGGCGTGTTGCTCATGAGAGAGCTTGTTTCATATGGTGATTTTGAATCAAAACTATTTATGCATTGTAACTGTGAATATGAAGTCTCAGAGAAATCATATAGAAGTTTAATAGTTCTAGATATTTCTCCCTTTCACAATTACTAAAAGTTACATCTCTTCTTGACCTCATTTAAGTAAGATTAAGAGTGCTAGGACTTTTTGACAGATGTGTTCTTGTTCATGTGTACAACAATCAATGCATAGGAGGCACCAACATGTCTGGAGTGGTTTGTGTAGTGTGCAGTTTTTGACATTTCACTAAAATCTAAAAAGATTTAAATTTTTTTCGTTGTGGTTTGACTTGCATTTGGATCATTTCATGCTGCCTAAAGGCACTAATGAGTTAAAAATCCCCAGTAGGAGATTTAAATGTATAAAAACCTGGTCATGATCAACCTGGTTATAAAGGTTAGGAGGGGTTCTTTTAGATAAACAGTAACTTTCAATCATCGAAGAAGCTCATTTCTAAGCCCTAAAATAGTTATTGGGGAAAATGCATCATTCATCAATCAAATGGAACCAATAATGAAAAAAGAAAAAAAAAGAAACAACTTTTTATTTGCTTAATAAAATTTCCTTTTCCATTTCCTTTTTTAATTTATTAACTTCCCATACTAAATTAATATGGGCAACATGGATAACAAGGGCATTTTTTTAAATTTCTTTCAAAAACTTGCTCGCAGCTGTTCAGCAGGTGGCTTCCACTTCAACAGTTTCACTGCTTGAAGCTGTAATAAATGGCACAGATGGACCCAGTATTCAAGGTGAGACAGCCAGTAGGAAAGTTTAAAATGTTTATTAATACATAAACAAAACAGAACATAAACGAGCTTCTGAAGATCTGCGGACTTGTAGCGACTGCAGGAGGGGGGCCGCCCAAACACTGACACTCTGGTTTAACAGTTCAGTCCATCCTCTCAATGATAGGCAGGATCAGCTGATGTACTGCCAACAAGATCCCTGATGCAACAACCCCAGTGAAGAGGCAGGACTCCGATCCAGGACAGGGATTCAGATCAAACTGGAGTAGCAGTGGAATCAAGGAATCTGCAGTCCGGTCAGGGGTTCCGATTCCACTCAGGAACGGACAGATCCGGGTTCCGAGAATCCATCAGCGCATGAAGGCAGGTTCAGAGTCGCGTGCGTCAAGCATCCAACTCAGACAGAAATGCACCTGGGAGGCAGAATCCAGGAGGAGTCCAACTGTAGTTCAGACGAACAGATCAGACAGGGACAGACAGGGCCAGGAAAACAGAACCCATAGGGAAACACTGAAACACTCTCCCCATTGGTTAGGGAAATACCTCACCTGAAGACAAGAGCTCAAGAGTAATCTCCTACTGGAACCGGGGACAGAACCCTTGGAAATAAATCTAACCAAACAAAACTGACATACAGGACACAAAAAGAAACTCAAACAATGATCTGGCCTTGATAGCTGGGCTGGACCAAATATAAGTCATCACCTACAGGTGGATAAAGATCAGAGATAATTAGGAACTGGGCAAAACTAGGCAGGTGAGTGAGATAATCAATTAAAGACAGCTATCAGAGCAGATCATGACAAAAGCAGCTTCCAAAACATGTCTTGTCACCATCTACCGGATTCACCCAATCAGCAGCAAATAAGGACAAGAAAGAAAAACATGGTGGACGAGCGACAGCTTCTATTGTTAAGGGTTTGCAAACATAAACATTTAGAGGCATCTTACGATTTGGCCCATAAATATACACAGAGTATAAAACCTGCTGACATTGAGCCCCTGCATCTTATTTGCCTACGTCAGGGGTGTCAAACTGGTTCCAGAAAGGGCCGTGTGGCTGCAGGGTTTCTTTCCAACCAAGCAATAGCACACCAGACTCATGTCATCTCATCAAGTCATCATGTTCTGATTGGACTCACTTGATGAGTTGACAGGAGTCTGGTGTGCTATTGCTTGGTTGGAAAGAAAACCTGCAGCCACACGGCCCTTTCTGGAACCAGTTTGACACCCCTGCCCTACGTGCTTCCAGCATAACTGATTCTTTACATTTCAGCCCAAAGTTATTAAAACCATTGGAAGTTGGACACCCTACGAATGGACACCCAAAGATGAATAGAAATTAGTTTTTTAATGAGCTTATTTTTTTTGTCTTCCTAATTCAAATTTTTATCTAGCATGCAGTAGCTGTTACTGTCATGTAAATTTCTATCCTTTATTTTTCTTATTTACCAATATTTATCCTAAAGTTGTTATAATTGTTACTCTTTTCTTTGAAAGAAAACAAAACAATTATTTTAAACAGAAGAATCCTAAAGGTTGTTTTTTTCCCTCTCAGAGGTTTACTTTACACATTTATAAAGTGCATGAAAAATGGAAGAATATTTTCTTTAAAATTTTGTTTTTTATGTTGTGCAGTGATTCTATGGAGATATGATAAAACAAAAAGCATGTTTTTTTATCTTTGTTTCCAGCTACAAACACTGAGAAAATATTTTTATATTTTTAATATCTAACTCTTATTAGATGTTCATCTAAGGATGACAGTTAACGTTTTTGCTAAACTGGTTAACTTAAACAATTTTTTACTTGTTTAAGATGACCTTCAGTTCTTTTTTGCTTCAAAACAAAAAGAGTTCAGAGCATGAGGGGGAGCGATAGAGGAAGGGACAGGGACCCTGTCCTTGCTCCTATCGCTATGGGATCAGTGGCCTGGTCTGACCACTTCCACAGCCAGCACCTCAACCTTATTCATCACCACTAGATAGTTATCACACCAGGGATATAGGGGCCTGATCTAAAGGGGAGAGGGCAAACGAAAGAAAACAGGGACTTCCTGCCCTGAGAACAAACTAATATAAGCAAACAAAGCACAAACACCTTAACTGTGCTCACACAATGTATCTTAATGTTATGATCCTTTAATGGCAAAACTAATCGTAACAAAAAATCTTCAAAATGTTTCTGGAATTGTGTCCTTACTAATGTTCCAAGTGCTGTTAATAAAATTAAACAAATATTGGCCTTAGTTCAGCTTTTGTGTTAAACATCATGTAACGTGAGAACATTGGAGGAGCTTTATTTTAAAAACTTTAAAACTTTAAAAACAACAAATTGACATTTTTGCACATGTAGATACTGATTCTTAAACATCCCATTTTCTTGTTCTTTGCCTTGCGTGTCTTTTTGGCAAATACAAGTAGACTGGTCCTCAAGTCCCAGGTTCTGGTGGAGTTGTTTCTTTTTTTTGTAGCGAACCAGAGAAACTAACTCTCACTGAATCACAAACACTCCCGGGAGTTTTGTCTGTGTGAGGCTGGCTGGTACAGGGATGATATTTAACTTGCCTCAAAAGAAGTTCCATCTCGGGCTGAGAGTGAAACACCCCAGGAATCTAAAAGAAGAAAAAAACAGAAACAGAAGTTAGCAACTAGAGAGAACCCTTAGATAAAGGGTCTATGAATTTACAATTTGTACTAGAAACAGTGGTACTTATTAAAGTTTAGGTAACAACTTCAACTATGTTAATGTAGGAATTTTAAACTTTAGGTAAGCCTTAGGTTTGAGAATCTCTTATTTCAATTCATTAAGTCAGACAAATTAACATTTTAAAATATTTCAACAACGCAATTAGAAAGTTTTATGCTAAATTAAGAGCAAAATTTTGTAAAAAAAGCCAAAAAGTTCTTCAATAATAAATTTGCAGGAATTCTTTTTTGTGGTGCCTGTTTGGGTTATAGAAGTTAAAATAAAAATCTGTCATCACAAAGCTCTCTCCATGGATGATGGTATCAGAATTAGACGAAGATGTTGTATGTTAATCATCTGTTTTGCATGCTATATTTCCAGTCCTTAAGCACAATAATTTCCAAAGGTCATAGTTTGTTCTCCTTTTTCTCCTACTGGTCATTTCATGTTTACCTTGAATTGTAATGTACTTTTTTAGAATCTTTCTGCAAAGTTTCAAGCTCACAGAGACTGTCCTAAAAAAGTCCTGCAGTAGGGACACAAACATCTAAAGCTGAAGAGGACTCTACTTCAATTTAATCTTCATTAAGAAAACTTTTATCCATCCTTCTATTCATCCACTCATACGTGAAACCCCAATGGTTGATAGACAAATATAAAAAAAAAAAATCACAATCTATGTACAAACTCCAGCATTGTTATAGAAGCACTAGGATATCTGTTGTACTGAGCATGCATTTTAAAACAAACAAAAACTTTGTCTTATTGCTTCCAAATTGAAAGAGATAAATCACTGACAGTCTCAGTAATAATTATTCAAATCACAGTGGTCCTTTTGCCAGTCTCTTAATTAAGAGACCAAAGCTTCAAGTCAGAGGACTCTGTATCTACTCTATATGCTAATAACACTTTCCTATTTAAGCCACTTTAAGACTGAGACAACAGAGAGGGAAGGGAAGGAAGTCTAAAGTAAGAAACGGTTGTATCAAGTAAAACCTAATTCTTTCTTTTACTGCATTAACAAACTAGTTATTTAGACAATAGCTTACTGCTAGATAACATTTTTAAAACTGAATGTTAGATTTTAAAAAACAAATCATTCTACGGATTTTATTAATAAAAAGAAATTAGTTAGTTTAAAAGAAGTCTATTCTTACCTCTAAGATATAAAAATTCAAGAATTCAATAAATAATTAAATAATTAATCAAATAATCAAAGTAATAGTTTAATTAATTCTGTATTTGGATGGCCTGCATAAAAAAAAAAAATATCCCTTAGATATGTAGAAATCAGCAATGGCAGCAACGTTCAAGGATCTACAACCTGGAATAAAGAGACATTTGTTCCATTTATCATTCTATTCGTTATCTGTAACTACTTGGAGATGGTACCTATCTCTAGCATTCATGACTGAGAGATGGGATACACCCTGGACAGGTCACTAGTACATCACAGGGTGACACAGGACAAAAGAAAAATGCATACACACACGCTGTGTCACTCTATTCTTGTGGGGACCTTCCATTTACTTCAATTCCCTTCCCACTCATTTCTATGGCCTAACTCTGACCCCTACCCTAAACCTAACCATTACCAATACATAGCTTAACCTAACCTAAAATCTATTCATGACATAGCCCCACACCTAACCCAGCTGCAAAAAGAGAACTGTTCCTCACTAAAAAATTTTTTCCTTCTATGTGTACAGCTAGTTTTGCAAGGACAGAACTTTTTATTTATTTAAACAAATGCACAGTAGCAGATTGTAATCTGGATTATTAGCACCAAAGAATTTTTGATTTCAAGCACTGTTTCCATACCTGCAATCTCAATTGGAGAGCAGGATAATAGCACCTACTTATATTAGCACAGAAACAAATGTGTGTTCTTTAAAGTTTGTACACAAAGGCATTGCCGTCCTCATAGACATACACAAGCCCACACACAAAAATCCAAAAGTACCAAGCCAGCTATGAGAAGAACAATGATGTTGACCCCTGGAACACTGCATCTCTGTCTTTGTCAGAGGGACTTAGAGCCTTTTGGTAAGCCGTGTCTGAGCAACTGTATCTGTATGAGTGTGTGAGGGTTCATGTGTGTGTGGGCTAGGGTACGAGGAGTGAGGAAGGATGAACTGTGGTGAAGAGCCATCTATTCACGGCTGACAAGGTCAGAGCTACTATGGGAAAGATAGCCCTGCCATATGCAGAGGTGCAGGGAGGGAGACAAAAATATATAGTTAGTTAGAAAGATAGAACGCTGGGTACACTTTAACTAAGCATTTGTTTCCATCTTATTTACAAAATAAAATGTTTATGTGAGAAAAAATTAAAACTTGCACTGAGTGATTAAACTTAGAAAAATCCTGTCTTTGATAATCTGCTTTTTCAAAACAATTGGATGATGACAGATGTAGGAAGAGTTAAGACAGGAAAAGTGAGAGGATTCTTGGTGCTGAATCAACAGTGACCAGTGTGCTTTGTCTTCATTATGATCCCAGTGGGGAGCCACAGAGTTTTGTGGGAGCGACACACACGTTCAGTCACACACACTCACACTTATGCACCTGTACCAAGGGAAGAAGAACTAAAATACTCCCCTCAGCACATCAGAAGACCCATTAGAACTTACATGCATCCAAATTTTAATCAAAAAGCCCACTTCTACTGGAAAAACAAAAACAGGAACAATGTGTTGTTTTCTTTGTTTCTCGATGTCCCACCTCTATAGACCCACCCTATCATAAGTAGGCTACTAATCTAAATGTCTGTTAGCTCAAAACATGTAAAAAGGATGCTTACATAATTTTCAGGGAAAAACACAGTCACATAACATGGAGTGGTATATACAAATGATCAACTTGTTAGTTTAAAGAAATAAGTGGTTAAAAGTTGGCTTATCTATAAAGTTTTGTTCTCAAAATCACTCAGAAATTAGGGGATGCTGAATATGTATAAGGTTCAAATATGCAATTTTTAACAACCTAAATATTTTCATTGTGGGTAACAGATTGGCAATCCTTATATAAATAAAGCTGAAATATATTAGTCAGCCCTGATATATGTATATTTGTGAAAGATACATAGCAGATAC